ATCATAACCATAATCTTCAAGTTCATCATGCTCCATAGTGATACCCTGTTCACACTGCTCGCCCTGTACACCCGGTATATTTTCTGAAAGCAATGCAAGGGCCGTGTTTTATTCTTTATGCCCTCCCCATTACTGAGTACCTTGCAGATACTTGAACAGTTGTTGAATGAATGCATCCTTTACGCCTATCAAATGAGTATTATACTGTACAAATAGTGAAATTATCTGGCTTCAGCATATAAATTACTATACAGATTCTCTTGAACTACAAGTAATATACCATACTTGTTACTGACATATGAAAAAAAGAGTCACTGTAGATGAGAAAACTTGTGACTAAACCAACAATTAAAAAACCATGAATGTAATTTTTAGGATGTTTAACGTCAACAACAAAATGTCTAGGCTATGTTGTATTAAGTAAATAAATTAAACTCAAACACATATTGATTAAGCACTTAACATTTCACCAGCACAATCATCAATTACATGGGAAATATAGCTTGTTAATGAAAAAAATCATAATATAAGATACAGTATAAATTAATGTGAAGAACACATGACACAAGCCAGTAATTTATGAAATTAATGGGTTCAATTTGAGTACATGGGCAGTAGGTTTTCCAACAAACATGATGCTAAAGAGACAAGTATAAATTTGACATTTTTAGAAAGTTATAAGAAAATTGGTCTGACTGCAATGGAGGGCATGTGTTAGGGAATGGGGAAGATACAATTAGATAAGAAAGTAAAGTTAGACACATTGATGAGGTTTCTTAGGATGGCTATTTAAAGTTGGTTTGATGGGGACACCTGCATGGCTCAGTTAGTTGAGTGTCCAACTCCTGATTTTGGCTCAGGTCGTGAGCTCACGGTTCATGGGTTCGAGTCCTGCTTCAGTCTCTGCTCTGACAGTGTGGAGTCTGCTTGGGATTCTCCCTATCCCTCTCTCTCTGCCCGTTTGTGCGTACACTCTCTCTCTCTCAAAATAAATAAACTTAAAAAAAAACAGTAAAAAAATAAGTTGACTTGCTGAACAAGGAGAAACTACAGGTTCTTCAGAAGGGAAGTGGAGTATGTATTCAGAACAAAATATTTTCAGAACAAAGCTCATGACAGTATCTAAGATAAAATGGGTATTTATTAGGTAAATCTAAATATTAGGAACCAATTAAGGTTAAAATTAGAAACTAAGGTTATAATTGGCTTAGAAATGATAGATTTAATCATGAACATAGGGTTGTATGGTGGAATTTTATATATGTTGAAGTAAATAAACTTTTATTCACAGAGCACTAGAAAATTCAATGTAGTTTATTCTGTCTATATTTAAAATTAGATAAGAAAGTAATGAGTACTCACTGTAAATCTCTTATTTTCTGAATTCACCTATTGAGGGGAAATAGAGGGTATTTATCACGAGGTCCAACTGAATTTAAGTCTTGAAAGGACCAAGAGCAATATAATAAGACTCTCTCCATATTTATCATAAGATAGATATGATACATATTTTCTAAGAAAGTCTCAAGGGGGAAAAAAAGTCAATGTAATAATATATTTTAGAAGAGAGAAAATAACTCATTGGAAGCCTAAGGGGCACAGAATAAGACAAACAGAAGTGGAGACAGGGGTCAGGAGCCAAGTTGAAACTGAAGAGCAATGAAGTAACGTCAGTAAATTAATCTGAAGAGGATTGGTGTGTTAATGGTAGTTGGGCATATAAGCTAGTTGAAAGGTAAAATGTGTCTTAGCTCCACATATGCAACTACAAATGTTTCTGAAAAAAAGGTGCTAAACAAGGATTTTATTTTTATTCTCTTTATTTAGAAAGCATGAGACCCTGAGGCAAAATGTTTCCAAACCTTCTCAACATCTTGACAGACTTGCATGTCTGTCAGTACATTTCCACTTATGGAATTGGCCATAGTGCTTCTAATTACCGCCGTCATAAAAATGAAACATTACCAGGAAAATATAAAATTGAAGTGAAAACTATCCATTCCAGTTACAAGAAAGGTATCATTCAAACACATGGACATTCTTAGGAATCAGAGATTTATAATACCTAGCTACCTATTAAATACACAATTGCTTTTTCTATGATATTCGCCCAACAGAACCAATACTTCACAAAACATGTTTAGATAAATATTATCTGAGTAAAATTAATGACATGAAAATACCACAAGACAATTTTAATAGCTGTTTATCATGACTACCCATCTTTCAAAAAAGAGGAAACGATATGGAGTACACTTAGGTGGTACAGTTTGGTCTTCATGACTGCCCTGTGCTGTATGAATGAAATTTGCTTATGTGTGTGTCAGCTAGGGTTCAGTTCAGGAAAATGAATAAGCTCCAGATACTTGAGGTAGACCGAAATTCAATATAGGGAATTAAAAGCTTACAAAGTAATTGGAAAGTCTAGAGATAGAGGCTCCAGGCTAGGCATCAAGAAATGTTTCCAGAACGCAGCAGAACTGACCTATTAGGGGAACTACTACTTCTGCTTCAATCAGAAAGGTGAGGAATCCAGAAGTCACTATGGAATTTATTGAGTTCAAAAACACCCAACTGGAGCTACACGTAAGGGCTCAAGAAATCACCACTGCTGCCACCGCAACAGCGTCTCACAACCCATGAAACAAGAACTTGGACGCTGGAAACTATCACACAAAATCATGTCTTCACAATCTCGCTTATTGGCAGAAAACAATGCAAGCGGCAGGAAGATGACCTTCACTTGACTTCTGCCTTCCAAATCTCAACAAGTACGTTTAATTGGCTGAACCTAATTTGCATCTGCAACCTCAATTGCCCAGAAATCTGGGGTGACTGCAGTCCAGAAACGCACACTATAAAATGGAGAATGGTTGCCAATTGGCCACATCCACAACACTGCAATTCAAAAACTTTAGAAATTTCTCATCCAAGGTCACAGAACTTGTGAGTGCTAAAGCAACAAACTTGAATTCAAAGATTTTGGCTACTTGCCCAGTGCTCTTTCCACTACATCAGTCTACAGCACTGATTACTCTCTGAAGACATTTGCCAAAGGAGACATATTTTCAAATCTTGTGCTAATTATATTTTTCACTGAAGCATTAATTCAGGCATCTGTGAATATTGTTACCTTTTAGTCTTATGTCAAATCCAGTTCTTCTTCCAAACTCAGACTTAATCTTATTTTACAGTACTTACAGTTAAACCAACACTGCAAGGGTTTAATACCTTTGAGTATTTTTCTCAGCAGGCTTGCTGCTTAATCCATTTAATGTCAGAACAACACAAACCTTCTTATTAAAATGGGGGGAAGGACATTACTAGAGACTACATTCGTGGCTTTCTTTCTGCAGGGTAAAACCTGCCAATATGGTGCTATTTGTACCTTACGTTTATCTGTGTTTTCTGCTAACCATATTAAAAAAAAAAACATTGAAAAAGGAAAGATTTGGGATGTCAAGTCCTCTTGAATTTTAATGATACATAAAAGAAAATTAGAATGAAAATTCTCTTAGAAGAGATCTTCTGGTTTGTCTTTTAATATTCAAATTAAAAATACAGTATGTGTAAATAAAATATTTGGATAAATGGAAATTTTGTAGTGTATCAGTAATACCTCATTAATATCAATTAGACCATAATTTTCATGCCAAATGATGATTTTTAAAGGAACTTTGGAAACATATTTTTATATGCACATTTAATGATCTAAGCACAGAAATTCCTTAAGTAAACATTAAAAGAATATAAATTATTAGATATGTGTCTATTTAGACCTAACAATACTATATTAAAATGAAAAAAAGGAGTTAAATCTATGTTACCACATAAAAAATTCAGTTCTTGCAAAGTTAGATGAGATGTTTGAGAATAAAAAGTCAAAGTTTGTACTTTATATCTTTCATCTACTTTCTGTATACAGTGAAAGCACTTTAGGAGATTCAGATTACTGTTTTTACTAATGTGCGTGTTGACTAATTATTTTTGGTGATGGTGGTGGTGATTTGCTTCAAAAATCATGTGAAAAGTTGGTTAGAAAGCTGAGCACTCATAAAATCTTAGTTTAATATGGAAAAACAATAATAAATATTTGAAAATCCTGGTTTCTGAAGAGTTTAGATAAGGATTGTTTACATTATAATCTAGTTGGCATTTCTTTAAATACTAATGTACTCCAAAATAATTGTTTGCTCTCCATGCTCTTTTTTAGAGACACATTTACTTTATGTGATTCTTTATTGATTCAGATAACCAGCAAGGATTCAACCCAAAGCAGGGACTGAAAGAATGTAAGAGATTTATTCAAAACTGAGAATGAACTGAATCCTTCCAATCCATTTCCATCAGGACTCCTCGCTTCTGTAAAGGCATATGGGAAGTCGATCTGTGTTCAGTCAGGAAAGCAACTCAACTTAAGTTTTTAGTTTTACAAGGGAAATTCTTCCACCCTGCCTTAGGAGGGAAGGGTGGAGAACCTGGTGTTATACAGGACACTCCACCCTTAGTTGTATCCCCTTGATTAATTATGCAACCAGATCTCCATTGTCATTATCAATTTACCAATCAGGTAATGGGATATTTTTACAACACTTGGTGCAGGGTTTGATTGATAGGGTCCTAGGACCCTTACTTATCATTCTTGTTCTGCATAGTACTAATGTGAAAAGATTTAATGTGGTGTGCAAGTTAACATTTTTCCCAAAATATTTTTTTGAAAACCTGTTATTTTAACATGTAAGCCTTACAGATATAAATCCTGACTATTGATGCATTATAAAGTTTTATACAATCCAGGGAGAATATGCAAGAAAATGGATAAAGAAGAAATTTCAAATTTATAGTGTAAGAACAAGTAGAAGAATATTTGTAATGTATTAGAAACTATTAGCATTTTAGTATATATAACTAATGGTAGAATGGTAGAATGAATGATTTGTAGTCAGTATAAACCAGCTAAATTCTTGAAATGCGCAACTAATAACACATATATTCCTCAGCCCACAGATGCTGCAAAATGGGGACCTAGACTTCTTGGTTTGTTCTCACACTACAGAAGTGCAGAAATTTCATGTGAGTCTTTTAAATTATCTTCCATCTGTTTCTTAGAATATCGAGGGTTAGAGAAAGGTCTAAAGCTTTATCTTAGCAAGTGCCGTATGATTAATATATCAGTCCTGGCTTCATCTCTCACTGACACAGTTATTAGGTTTCAAATAATTATTTTGTTTCTAAATTTTAAACTTGAAGGGAAAGGTTATTTGCTTTTGCTATTAGTTTTTCTTTTTATTGTGAAAATTTCAACATATGGAAAAGTTGAAAGCATAATACAAATACCTATATACTTTTCACAGTGGTATATATGTTTGTACCAACATGCATATATGCGTATGTTGGTGTGTATTTTTTTTTTTTTTGCTAGATCATTCTTAGATTAAGTTACAGACACAAGGCTATTTCACACTTAAATGTGACAGCAAACATTTCCTGAGAATAAGGATCTTCTGCATTACCACCGTACAACTGTTAGTCCTGAAAATGTTTATGCCCAGGCTACAACCTACATCACGAAATCAAAATCTTTGTAAAGAAACCCTAGACATAAGTATGTTTTAAAGCTCCCAAGTGATTACAATGTACAACAGTAGAGAACCACTGTTTACAGATCTAGTAAATCCAAGTTAAACATTTTCAAGAAAGAAAACATTGTTTTTGCTTTTTAATATGCATAAGAATGTGGTAATCTTTAGCAGGTCTACATTACAGATTTTAAATCAAAATGTCACAATAATTTACATTTCCTTATGTTTTCTGTACATGTTTAATATGATTTTTAAAAATATCTCTTTCATATAAATATATTTGATCTTCCTTTCAATTTCTTCTATATGATCGTTTAAAGTGCATAAACTATGTATCGTTATGGGAATCTCAAATACATTTATCTTTAAAGTTAAATAACTTTAAACAAAAATATTTATACATGTGTAATTTAATAAATGTTTAATAAATCAGATATGACTCTTATGTAAAACATAAAGCTTCTTCATAATCTATCATGTCATCAAATTTCACATTTACAAGAATAAAAGTTCCAGCAAGCAAAAGTCAAAATCTAAATGGAATACATGTTAATATTTTAAGAATGTTCTTTCATGTGTTAAAACTCTTGATGTTTCTTATAACAAAACATTAACCCTAAGTAAACAAATATAATTTTGACTAATAAATTATTCCTACATTTTATTGTAGTTGACTTGTTCATGTTAAGATTAGTATTAGCCTAAGAGATATTTCCAAAAGTTTTCAACACCTATTAATCACTTTTTATTTTTGGCTTCTGCCTATGACATTGTCATAGATTATCCAAGAAGGTAAAAAGGTATTAAGCACTTAGAAATAGCCATTAGATATTTATGTCTGATCTTTAGTGTTAGAGTCAAAGCAAGTGATGTATAAACTGATTATTTTTTAAGAAATGAATCAAACCAGTACACAGATAAATAAAATATTTTTGCCTGGAATAGAAGTCCTAAGACCTGACTTCTAGGCTATCATAAGCAGGCCACTTTATCTCCCTGAGCCTGAAGCTTCTCATCTGTTAAAGGAAGGGTTTAGCTATGTCACAGATTCCCAGACTTTCCCAGTTCATGGTACTCTTAGTGTCTCAGTAATTTTTTTCACAACATCACAGGGTAAAAGAAATTACTTTACAATTCCCATTATTAAATAGTTAGGGCCAAAATTACATACGTCTTTCTTAACCACTTTGTAGCTATTTAAAAAAATAATACACATTTAAAAAAATTTATTTCATTCTTAATAAGATGGGCACATCTATCGGCACTTTACAAATTCTCAAATCTTGGAATTGGATTAGAATCACTACCCTCATTTTCCGTTCCACCGCCGTTTTCTCATGGTCCTTGTGTTTTATAACTACAACTTAACAAAACCCAGCATCACAAAGGTATGATGTCATCAAAAGGAGGAAGTACGATTTAATGTTGAAGCTCTGAACTACCTGGAGCTGGTGGTTTGCATAGTGTCCAACTGATGTCATTGTGTTGGCTAAGTGAAATGGATGAATACATGTACTGTGACAGAATAGGGTTAGTGTTCAATTTAGTTATTTCCCTTTATTCTAAAACAGCTACTATTTATAATAGCATTCCTAAAACCTACTTCTTTTTCTCACAATATGTAGCAGGAAAAAGGAACACACAGACCTATAGCTGCATCTGAAACCTTAAAAAGCCATCCCACATAAATGAAATAAGAAGGTAACATTGCTTTGATAAGGCAGTAATGTATTCATAAACTCCTAAAGGCATTTTTTTATTATAAGAAAGAAAGAATGTTATTACATAAAAATTGCTCACAGAAAAAATTTTAAATCTTAGTGATGGCCAGAAGCCACACTTTGAGAATCATGTTCAACAGTGGTCATGTTAGAAGTAGCAAGTGATAGTTTTTAGAAAGTGACAACATTTTTTTTTTTAAGGGCATTATACTACAAAGACTGATTTCATTGACATACTAAGCAAAATTTGTCAGGGAAGTGCATGATGTCACTATTAAAATAAATCCTGAAAATCATATTATTGGTATACAAAAATCAATTACTAAGACTGTAATATAGTATAGCATCATAGGATTTCTGGATAATGAAAATAGTCCTGAAGTCAAGCAGAAAATTAGTGTATGGAAGTAGGAGAAAAGACAGAGAATGACTGTACCAAGTAACTAACAACCTTAAAAAGGGTGGACATTTTGACAAATCAAAACCACACTGAGATACTAGGTCACATTAGAATCAGAGTGGCTAAAACTGACAACTCAGGAAACAACAGATGTTGGCGAGGATGTAGAGAAATGGGAACCCCCTTGTACTGTTGGTGGGAATGCAAATTGGTGCAGTCACTTTGAAAAGCAGTGTGGAGGTCCCTCAAAAAATTAAAAATAGAACTACCCCACAACCCAGCAATAGCACTACTAGGAATTTATCCAAAGGATACAGGAGTGCTGTTTCTAGGGGCACATGTACCCCAATGTTTACAGCAGCACTCTCAACAACAGCCGAATTATGGAAAGAACCCAAACGTCCATCAACTGATGAATGGATAAAGAAGATGGGGTTTATATATGTACATATAATGGTATACTACTGGGCAATGAGAAAGAATGAAATCTTGCATTTATAACAACGTGGATGGAACTGGAGGGTACTACGCTAAGTGAAAAAATCAGAGAAAGACAGATGTCATATGTTTTTGCTCTATGTGGAATTTGAAAAACTTAAGAACATGGCGGAAGGGAGTGGGGAAAAATAGTTTCAAACAAAGAGGCAGGCAAACCATAAGAGACTCTTGAGTATGAAGAACAAGCTGAGGGTTGGTGCGAGGGAGTGGGGGAGAGGGGAAAATGGGTGATGGGCATTGAGGAGGCCACTTGTTGGGATGAGCACTGGGTGTTGTATGTAAGCGATGAATCATGGGAATCTACTCCTGAAGCCAAGAGCACACTGTATATACTGTATGTTGGCTAACTTGACAAGAAATTATATATTGTTTTTAAAGGTGGACATTTTGTAAAACAAACAAACAAACAAACAAACAAACCCTAAGATTGCTTCATGGGATTTAATTCATTTCATATACTTCTTTTCTAAAAGGAGCTTCAAGTTACACAATCAATAAATTAAGTTTCAAAATGCATTTTTCACCCCAGAAGTTCCTCTGCTAGGAGGAAATTATTTGTTTACACTTTATACGTTTTACATAGAATGGTGATGGACAGGAATGCAGAGATGGAGAAATAAAAGAGAAGGTCAAATAGAGACAGCAATGTCTGTCATTTTTGGGAACTTGCTCCCTTTTTTGCCTTAAGCTGAAAGCTAGCTTTCCCTGAGGCTGGACATCTCCCAAATGGTGCCTAATTATTTTCTCTCATCACACATCCAGGGCATGGGGTCTATGTCCACTTCCTTCCCTGTTGTCATTTCCCAGATCACTTTTATTTTATCAACTTGTAAAACTAAAACAAAATCATCAACCACAAAACAGACCTGGGTTCCTTTTAGGTCATGCTAGAATACTCTCCTCATCACATCTTTATCTTTCTGACCAAAAATTACCAGCTACTGCACCTCACCCATTGTCCTTTCCTCCCGCTTCTGTGGTGTAGTGCTCCTCAAACTTTATGTACACTTCAGTTACCAAAATTCAGAATTCTAATTCTGACTCAAATTCTATTCAAAATTCAGATTCTGATTCTGTAGAGACCCCCAAGTGAAGTCTCCATTTCTTATAACTTCCCAAGAAGCCATGGACCACCATGAAGAGTAAAGCACTAGAGGAGATTTTTCTGCCATTACCTAATCTACTATAATCCTAATTCTCCTGTTCTGCTTTGGAACTCATTCTTCCCTGCCCTTACTATTTTTAATATCTATTGTTCCTTCACCACTCCTGGTCTTTCTTAACTGCTTAAGTAGCACCCATTAAAGCGTGCACGCTCACACACACACACTCACTCACACACACACACACACACACACACACACACACCTACCTCAATTTAACCCTTTACTCCCCACTAGCTACCATCGCAGGTCCCTCCCTTTCACAGCCAAACTTTTTTAAAAAAAGAAATTGTTAGAAAGAAAGAACTGTGTTTGCTTATGCCATTTCTTCACCCCCAGTACAGAAGTGGATTGGATTCTGTATCTGCATCAATCTTACTTGCAGGTCATTAGTCCATCAACATAATGTTCACTAAAGTCACCAATGGCTGCATGTTGAGAAGCCAACAAAGACATTTTCAGTTCTCATCTTATTTGAACCTATCAACAGAATTCATTTCTGTGAACCACACCTGATATTTTTCCACATTGTTCCCTATGACATGATGGTCTTATTTTCCTGTTATCCTGTTATTTTCCTGTTTCTAGTCACTTTTTCACTTGGTTTTATTGGACCACAATCTTCTATCCAGCTATTAGATATTATATATTGAAGTTCTTTGGGACATAGTCCTTTTCCAGTATATATTTTCTAGTATATATTTGTACCGTATAAACTCCATGCTCTGTCAACCAAACACTTTTTTTTTTGAGAGAGAGAGAGAGAGAGAGAGAGAGAGAGAGAGAGAGAGAGTGTGCATGCATGAGCAGGGGAGAGGGGCAGAGGGAGAGAGAGAAGAGAATTGTTCTCTCAGCATGGAGCCTGATGCTGGGCTGGATCCTGTGATCCTAGGACCCTGGCATCATGACCTGAGCTAAAATCAAGAGTCAGACACTCAACTGAATGAGCCACCTAGGTGCCCTTAAATGCAAATGACTTCTAAATTTATGTCTCCAGCTTACACATCTTCTTTGAATTACAAACTTGTATGTCCTATCACCTACTTGACATTTTCTCTTAGATGTATCAAAGGCACTTCAAACATAAGAGATCCGAGCTATATTAGTGATTTCCCAAAAGTACATGCCAGTATCACACAGCCAGGTACATAGTCCAGAAAATTATTAAGTTTTTGATACATCCTCTTCTCTGTCATATATCCACTCTATCTTCTGAGGCCTCCCAAATGTCCATAGAATGTAGTCTACTTACTTCATCTCCACCATCATCTCCATCCTAGTATCAATGATGGTCATCTCTGGGCTGGGCTACTACAAATGATTTCCTAAGGAGTATTACTTCCATCCATTCTACTCTGCTCTTCCTTCTTTAATCTATTCTACACACTGCAGATATGGTATTATTTTTGAAACACAAATTTCACCATTTATGCCCCGAACTTGTTTTGATCCCTTGTATCAGTCAAGCTTTTTCCCACTAAAGCGATGTTGCTTGTACTGTTTCAATGGCTTGGGATGTTCTTCCCTCCTTTCTCCTAGGTAACCCTGCTTATCCTTCAGACCTCAAGTCAATTACCATTTTTTTTTGTTTGTTTGTTTGTTTGGTTGGTTTTTGGTTTTTTGTTTTTTTGTTTTTTTGTTTTGTTTTTTTTTTTTTTTGGAAAGCCTATCTTTGCCTGCATGACTTGGTCAAATTCATTTACTAGATCACCATATTCCCATATTCCTTGACAGGCTGTTATATTTCTGGTTTTGTTCACCATTATCTTCCCAGTACTAGAACAATTCCTGACACATAGGTGTTACTCTCAAAATATCTCTTGATGAATTAATGTATGGAGAAGATAATATCAGTTGAAGAATCCCAAATGGTATGGGATTTGAGCTGGGCACTCTCTGTAATTATTGAAGAATAAGGTAGAGGGAGATGAATAGGGATATTGCAAAGAACAAAATGTAATAGCACTTTCTTTAATAATTAGGAAGGAAGTCGAAGAGGAGGTGAAGATATTTCATAAGTTGATCTAGAGAATGGTAAGGCCAATGATAAAGCAGTTTCAGCTAAATAAAATGATAAGCTCAATTTATCCATCAATGGCACTTGAGGTAAGAAACTTACCAGTTTGGAAAGGGCTTGAAGACATGTATAAAATGTAGGATAGAATATGGTGTGAGATGTCATCTAGGCATCCTGGTCTAGATGCACTTTGTTGCTGACAAGCAAATAAACTTCTCTGTGTTCACTATCTTGGTTACCAGCACAGAGTAAGAAATCATGGGCCATTTGAGTGCGCTCTCTTCTATTTTCTTATCCCTTTTTATCATCATCTATTTGTTCTTTTCTGTCCCACGGCCACTTCCTTGGACTTTCACCTGAACTATTTCAACAACTCTCTTACTACTCCCCTTGCATCCAGCCTTGTTCTCCTGTAATACAGTTTGCACTTTCCTCCCAGAGTGACTTTTCTAGGACACCACAATGGCACTTTCATGCTGCGTATCTTTTTTTTTTTTTTTTCTCAACGTTTTTTATTTATTTTTGGGACAGAGAGAGACAGAGCATGAACGGGGGAGGGGCAGAGAGAGAGGGAGACACAGAATCGGAAACAGGCTCCAGGCTCTGAGCCATCAGCCCAGAGCCCGACGCGGGGCTCGAACTCACGGACCTCGAGATGGTGACCTGGCTGAAGTCGGACGCTTAACCGACTGCGCCACCCAGGCGCCCCTTTGCTGCGTATCTTTAAAAGGTTTCCACTGACTACAAAATAAAATCTAGACTCTTCATCAAGGCTTTCTGATTTGATCCTAGAAGTCCTGAAGTTCTCTTCCAATGCGTCTCTCCAATCATACCAGACCACTTCTTATCTCTAAGTGCCTCCTTTCCTTCTTCGTTGTTTCCTTTCCGTCCTATCGAAATCTGGCTGGAGAGTAACAAAGTTATTCTGACTGGTAAGGAAACAACAACAACAAAAGACCAAGGAAACTCAGCCTTCCAGTTCAACTCAAATGTGGCCTCCTGAATGAAGCTTTCCCCTCTAGGAAAATATTTAGAGTCCCATTGGTTATCTGCCAGCTCACTGTAACTCTTAGCCAAAAGTTAGCTGAGTCACTGTCTCTCACATAGGTGAAGTTAAGCTCACTATTTGGCATGTCTCCTTGAGCTAGTCTAGCTACAGAGTTTGGTTCTACGTAATCTGTTGTCACACATCCCTTCTAGAGGTGTGGAAATGTTTCCACAGAAACCTCCCCTTGACCTAAAGAAGACTGCTACGCGGAGGGGGGAGGGCGTCGTTACGTTTTACGTCATCACGCGCAAGGAGGGTGGGGCCCTCAAGGGAATGTAATGAGGGGCGTGGCCAAGTGGCATAGGGCGGGGCTACAACGAGCTGGGCGGGGCCGCAGTGGAGTCGGGGCGCTTCTGCTCTTCAGCCGCTGTGCACTGAGTCCAGAGGCAACGCTGGGAGAGTCCCCTCGACGCTCGGTCCCGAAAACGTGATCAGGACCACCGGCTCAAAGCAGAGGCAGCTGCGTAGTCTAGCGGAAGCTGGTGGTACGGGAGTGCGGCCGAAGTCTGAGCTCTGCAGGCGGGAAGCACCCGGGATAGGGGAAGCCCCAGGAGCAGCGGAGCTGCGCCTCCCTTACCCGAGGGGCCGCGGCGACGGTCACGGGGCGCGGCGCCACAGCGCGCGACCCAGGCCGGTATTGCAAACAGGCTGCCCAGGCTCCTCCTCCACCCGGGCCGCCTACCTGCGGACAGCGCTACGCCGCCTCTGCCGGTGTTGGAGGCACCTGCGCCGCCTTGCTCTCCGGTCTCCGCCCCTCGCCCCTCAGCGCCAGGCCCGGGCGGCGCACCTGGACGCGCTGGGCTGCGGGAGCCAGGGTTCGGGGCGCGCGGCGTCCTCGCGAGGACGCAGGTGGAGCTGACGCGACTTCGTGGAATCCGGCGCCGGCCGCTGCAGTCGTCCGGGTCGCTCCAGGTCCCGGGAACCTGGCCGTCTGCGCCCGCTCCTGGGGAGGAGCCGCCGCCGGCTGGGCACCATGAACAGCAGCAGCTCTCACATCACCTACGCCAGTCGCAAGCGGCGGAAGCCGGTGCAGAAAACGTGAGTGTGCAGAGCTAGTCTTCCGCGCGGAGTGTGCGCCACTGCACCCCGGTGCGGGAGGCGGCCCCACCCCGCCTCCAAATCCCCGCCGTGCAGAGATTAGGTTCATTCGCGATACAGTCCGTGGAATCGAGATTTAGAGGCCGGCCGACAGACCCAGGCCTTGGATTTTTAGTTTTTAATGATCGCGTTTAAAAAAATGCACCCCCTCCCACTTCGCGGTGCACACGCACCCTCCCGCACCCCCACCCATCTGCACCTCTCTTTTATGTGGTCTTAATTTGTTGACTGGTCTAGCCTGCCCAGTGGGACTGGTGGATTAATTAACACAAAACCGCCTTGAAATCCTCTTCGATTTTTAATATTCTCATTGGTTGGGTTAGAGGACGGTTATTATTTTCATCCTGGTAGGGCCAGATGTTTTAAAGAGCTAAACATGTGCCGTCTGCAAAAAAGGGTCTGAGTTCCTCTGAAGGTATTTTTTGGTCTCTGCAACCGGCTTTCTCTTAGCTCTTATTTACTTATTTGGCAGTAATTTTATAGCGCTCAACGTGATCATATCGGTGAAATGTATATACAGGGGAGCAGGGATGAATTGAGTGTAGTGGACAGGATACAGCGGGGGATTTGTATTTTCAGGCACCCTTTTGGGGACTTTTCTTACCACTTTTGAAGTGATTTTAGGGTCTGTAAAGTGAAAGATTTAAAGCTGGAATTACTGAAACACGTTTGCATTCTTAGCATTTTTCTCTTTTTTCCCTTCCTTCAAAGTTTTATCGATTCTAATAGATTAATTAGAAACTTAGATATTTGTTTTGGTGATATATATTTGTGTGAGATGGTAAAAACATTAAAATAATGTTTCAGGAAAAAAATTAATGCTTGACACAGATTGCTGAGATCGTTATATTCGCGTGTTTATTACTAATTTGATCTTTGAGCTACTTAACATTTTTTCAAATCTTCAGAAACCATTTTAAGAACAGAAACGTTTACTCAGAACAAGTCAGAAGTGTGCACTTTGCTTAAAACTCAGTTTAGATCACTAATTCAGATCAGAAAAATCACAATTCAAAATTTGTGTTTGGAACCAGTAACAGGTTTAAAAGTTTCATTATTCTGAAGTTTTAATTTCCTTTTAGAATTTCAATTATAGTTCTTCAGGTCTAGACTTGGCCTTAAGAGGAGACACTAACCTATAAGTAGACTGATTAAAATTTGGAAGTCTTATCCTGCAGTGTGGCTGGCATTAGGAATACTGCCTAGTCAGCAGTTTTCTGCCTTGCCAATTCTGTGGCATTGGCTTAAAATACTTATATTTTATAAAGGAGTTCCTTATATAAAAATGTATTTGTCTAACTCGGCCTTGTGTTTGGTGGTTATTTAAAATAACCAGAGGCATCCCAAATGCCTCTTCTATGTATTTGTTAATACAGTAGTATACTTAGCCTAATATAAAGGCAGTATCATGGATTTTATGTGTATGGTCAGAAAACTTGAAGATCTCCGTGATGAATTTTTAGGTTTTAATCATTGTCGTAACAAAGCATCTAGATGACTTTTTTTTTTTTTTTTTAATCAAAAGCCTTGATGTTGTATTCATTATAAAGTTTAACATCTTTGGCTTTTAGTTAGCATTTTATTTATGTAAGATCTATCTTTCGTTGTTTTATTTTAGCGTTTTAATATACTTCAGAAAACTTGTAAATACATTTGTATTTAACCATCTCTTGTAATACAGTATAACTAAAGCATTTTCCACGTTCACGTTCATTTTATTTTAGTATAGATTTTATCAGATCTTTATTGAGCACTTTGTGTTGCTTGTAGTCATATAAATGCCTTAACATGTCACCATATCGCTCCCTTAAGGGAAGCCTAGTGCTGGCATTTGCAGAATCACGTGAAATTGATTATAAGTTGTTTTTACCTGAATGAAAAACGGATTACTTTATAATGCAGTTAGTCAAGGTTTATTTTAGGAATGTGGCCATTAAACCTAATGCTACGTTTAACATGCATTTAAATTACTAGTTTTTAGCTAATGAGGTCTAAAATATGCCAGCATTATCAGAAAAACACTAGTCTGAGCTGAAAATGGTATTTAACTTTGATCCCTTAAGTGAGAGTCATTTTATTTTACTTAAAAAAAAAAACATATGTTGTATCATAATTATAGGACTGTTAACAATACAGTCAATTTAATATCCAGTTTCATAAAATTTTATAATCAAGTATGTGACAACTTTAATCTGAAGCTCTTCCAGTCCCTCTTCAATTGACTGTATTAAACAAGATAATCTCCCCCTAGTGGCAAGTCTAACATTGAAAATTATCTAATTGGCACCAAATACAACTTAAATGTGTTAAATTTAATCCCACTAAAGTATCTTGTACATAGTAGATGCTCAGTAAATGTTTCCCTTCTTTTTGCAATAATTAAGTTAGGAAATTAAAGGATCCTAACCAACCTTGCACCAGACCCATGTTCCTAAAGGAAATTTCCAAAGATACCCTTAAGAATGGATTCTACCGTTGCTTTCCTTAAGGTGTTGCTCTATATGTAATCACTCTGCTTAGAACACAAACAAATGAAATTCTTCTTTTTAATTTAAATTATGTTCCTGTTTTGTTTTCTTTGGAGATGAAAATATTGTTCATTTGTTTAGTTACTTTGTCTCATGAAGGTAGGTGAAAAGGATACCATTGAATTAAATAGAATCTTTTTTTCCTGTTGATAATAACTTTGTATATATTTTTACATTTTTTAAAGTTTTGTTACTACTGGAAAAGTCGAGCGGTACTTCAGTTTACTGTTTTTCTACAAAGTTATTACTGATTGTTGGTAAATAATAGGTGTTGAACTCAGGTATCACCTCACGCCAGTCAGAGTGGCCAAAATGAACAAATCAGGAGACTATAGATGCTGGAGAGGATGTGGAGAAACGGGAACCCTCTTGCACTGTTGGTGGGAATGCAAATTGGTGCAGCCGCTCTGGAAAGCAGTGTGGAGGTTCCTCAGAAAATTAAAAATAGACCTACCCTATGACCCAGCAATAGCACTGCTAGGAATTTATCCAAGGGACACAGGAGTACTGATGCATAGGGGCACTTGTACCCCAATGTTCATAGCAGCACTCTCAACAATAGCCAAATTATGGAAAGAGCCTAAATGTCCATCCACTGATGAATGGATAAAGAAATTGTGGTTTATATACACTATGGAATACTACGTGGCAATGAGAAAAAATGAAATATGGCCTTTTGTAGCAACGTGGATGGAACTGGAGAGTGTGATGCTAAGTGAAATAAGCCATACAGAGAAAGACAGATACCATATGGTTTCACTCTTATGTGGATCCTGAGAAACTTAACAGGAACCCATGGGGGAGGGGAAGGGAAAAAAAAAAAAAAAAAGAGGTTAGAGTGGGAGAGAGCCAAAGCATAAGAGACTGCTGAGAACTGAGAGCAAACTGAGGGTTGATGAGGGGTGGGAGGGAGGAGAGGGTGGGTGATGGGTATTGAGGAGGGCACCTTTTGGGATGAGCACTGGGTGTTGTATGGAAACCAATTTGACAATAAATTTCATATATAAATAAAAAAAAAGAGAAAAAAAATAATAGGTGTTGAGTAAATGACATCTACACTTAAAAATGATAGTCACAGCAGTGGTGATCAAGACAGCCATCATGAAATGCCTGTATGGGTAATAACTTCTCAGTATTAGATGATCCTGGTTACCTTGTTAATATACTAGTTATACAAAAGCATGGTCTTTGTTGCTGTATTTGCTAAGTTACTATTTATTTAAGTTTCATAAGCCTCATTTATATATAGTAGTGGAATAAAATTATATATTGTTTTACTGAAAGTACTTCATATAAATATACTATGGTATCATTTCCCAAATAGCTTTTAAAATAAAGGGATAGGTCTTTTCACTTCCATAATTATTGTTTTATCATATTTTTCAGATAGCTTTCCTTAGTTTATGCATAATGACTACAGAGATCCTTACATATTGGAACTATGAAATGAATAAGTGAAAGTGTTTAGTTGTCAGCATTTATGAAAAATAACTGGCAGAAAGAGGGAAAAATGAGAAATAAATGGAAAGAGCATTAGGTCTAAACTAAAGGATGAGGCCTAGTTTCCTTGCTCTTGTAGATCCAAGCAAGGGATTGACCAGTAAAGGAGCACAGTCAATACCTATACAGTCAGTCTCACAACTAAAATGAGAAGAACAAAACTTTTTATAAACTGTAAAGACTGTAAGTCATTGTTTACTGATATAAATGAAATGGAAAATTCTATTCTATAAATAATTATAGCTTACAATATCACAGAACAATCAGTTCTCCTGTAAGAGGCAGTATATGATTATGTTCTCAATTATGATTATGGCTGAAATGTGGTACTTCACTGACATCTAAACTTATATAGTGCATGCTTAGCATTGTATATAATTAGGACAGTTACTTAGAAATAAATACCGTGCAAATCTCTAACAACAGTACCTTTCTACTTCTGCAGTTTTTTTTAAATGGATTTTTTTTGCCCAAAAGTTTATCAAAAAGCTACTGTTCATTAGTACTTATTGTGATATATATGTGCACAATGTTTTACATTTTATTTTATTTTTATGATGGTAGTGTGAAAAGGTATTACTATTTATTTTATAGATAGGGATCTGGGATTCAGATTCAGAATTGTTAGGTAGCAAATGAGAAAGCTGAGTTTGAATATCAGATTTCAGGTCTTATGGCTACAAAGCTTATGTTATTACCAACTTCGCAATAATGCTCAGGTAAGTAAGTTTAGTGATTTTTATGGCACACCCATATACTAGGGATTTCCTTAATGCTCCCGTTTCTCCTTAAATAATTAGTGTTATTTGCAATAATAACATTCATTAGTGTTATATGAAATAAATGATTTACTGTTTGCCAGACTTGTGCTTACCTCTGTACTTGCATTCATGGTCTTTCCTCTTGGTCTTT